TTTTTTTTTTTTTTTTTTTTTTTTTTTGGAGAAGGCACCTTGTTGTCCGTGTTTGCCTTTATAAACCTGCACCACGTGTCCGAAACTTTCTCCTCTCGAAACCGGGATTCAAGCCAGGTTGTATGAATGGTGGGCCATTTGAAAATATAAAAACGCACGTGGTCGAGTAAGTTACGTAAGTCGAAGGAAAGAAAAAAAAAAGAGAAAGAGACTGGACGTATCCGCGAAGCGTTGAATGAAATTGCGAAATGAAATAGAGATATTACAGATATTTCTGTATTCTTGGTGACAAAACGGCGACGGGGCTTTTAATTAATTAAAAGTGAGCAGCAGCTGCCGTAAGCGTGCAAGGCCGCTCCCAATTTTCACGCAATTATACCCGTTGTCCGCAGTTTTGTAGGACATTTTCCGTGACTAACGGGTAAACGCCATTGTTGCCCAGTGAAAATGGATTGATGGAAACAATAGGCGGGATAGAGAAAAAGAGGGGTTAGCCGGACAGAGAAAGGGGTAAAGAGAGGTCGGTCATGTCACCGCCGGCCAGTATCAATTATTTTCAAATTACGAATTTCACCGTAGCATAGTACAATTGATTTATCCATGTCGTCGAGTACAGACGACGCAATTGATCCCTGTCGCACTCTATAGATCGCGTTGTTCCGCGCCGAGAGACGCGTCATTTTTTTTAAAACCGTCGTTCGCCTCGCTTCGATGTCTCTGTAGCCTACTAGAACGATCTTTTTTCCAGCTTTTCAAAGCTTTTGAAAGTACGTGGTATTCAGTAATGGCTGTATACTTGAGTACAAGACATATTTTCTATTCTATCTTTTTCAAAAAAAAAAGATAAGCTTGTATCTAGTAATTCCTTTACAACTTGTAGAAGTTGAAAGAGAGTTCTACCGCAAGAATTTGATAAAATCTGGCGTCGATAGAATACGAGAATAAGAGGCACGATTCTCTCGACGTGTACATTCAAATGCGATGGAAAATATCTCGCTTTCATTTGTAGAAACTCGTGTGTAGAGATTGGATCTACGAAGCAGTCAATTGACGTATAAACGTATATGCGGGTGGAATATTTTAAACGAAGTTAATGTTAATATAACGAAGCTACCTTTCGACCTCGATTCGACTATAGAACAACGTGGAGAGGTAGGTTGCAGGTTGCGAGAAATCTGAAACTCGCTTCGTGTCGGTAAGACTACCAGATTGATCCAATCTATTCCACGATGTTGTTCCAACATTTCTGTTAAATATTAATGTATTATAATTCTAAATCAAGATCTAACCATAACGTGTCTGAGAGCGCGGTTTCATCCCAGACGCTCGCATACGTAAATTATAGCCAAGTATACATGCATTACCGCGATGAAACGCGACCCGTAGAAAGTTAATGAAATCGCCAATTAAAGTTGGCTTTAATTGCAGCGTGCAGCTTGCGAGGAAATCGAAATGGTCGAGCTGTGCGGAAGCGGACAACCGACTTCAGCGATGGGAGTGATGGGGATCGGTTCGGTGGTGTCCGCGGCAACGTCGTCCTCGTCTTCGTCGACGACGACTACTGCAGCCTCATCCTCGGCGTCCGGACGCGCGGGCGTTTTAGAAACGCAAGTTCGTGGTCAGTGGTATCGCGTGTTCGTCTCGTTGGAGGACGATTATCTGAGCATCTCCTTGGACGAGAGTTGCGAGACGAGCAACAATGCCCTCAACAACGGTAACATAAACAACAACAACGTAGACAGCCTGAACGATCCGGACGTGCCGGACTCGGTGGCCAATCAGAAACGTATCGTGCGCGTGGTGAAAAGCGACAACAACGGCCTCGGGATCTCGATCAAGGGTGGCAAAGAGAATAAAATGCCGATTTTGATCTCGAAGATCTTCAAAGGGATGGCTGCGGACGCTACCGAGCAACTATACGTGGGCGACGCTATTCTGGCTGTAAACGGGGAAGATCTGCGCGAGGCGACTCACGATGAGGCGGTGAAGGCGCTCAAGAGGGCTGGAAAAGTCGTCGAGCTGGAAGGTGAGTGAATTATCAAACGCTCGTCTTTTATTTGCATGTCTGTTTGCTGCGAGAAAAACGATCGATAAGCGAGACAGTCGTCTGACCGGTGTCTATATGCATTCGTTCAGAGGTAGATATAGATACGCGTATTTGGGCGGATCCTCACGATAGATATACCATAAAGATCGATCGTTGCGTAAAGATCGATGCGTTTAAAAGGTGAAAAGGTAGACGATCGAAATGGTTGTTAATACGCGATGATAGAGGAAAGCAATCGCAACGATTAGTCTCGCGATGGGTTGAGTAACACGATGGTTAGATGCAAGAAGATGGTAGATTTCTAAATGTCGTACACGTAACGGATTTCTCTTCTGAGAAGTCGGTAATCTTCCGCAAAGTATTTCTCGTTGCTTTCGTTCGACGCTCGACAGTCTGACCGATGTATTTACCGTACCTATGTATGTTTCCGTAAATAACGGACCTCTGGTCTCTTAACTAAATTCGATAAATGAATTAATCCGGGAACATCGACGGTTTTCGCGTTTCCTTTGACCGGCAATTCGGAGATAATTAATAGCCAGGGCGCGTTAGCAAAATCAGGTTGCCCGACGCTGCAGTCCTGTCAGGGGCTCGGAGGAAATCTCGATCCGTGGAAACGTGAGCGTAAACGCAAACGCAGATTCGTTTAGCCGCGCGTCGCTCCAAGTACTGAAATGTTCGGTCGGAAGTAGAAGTAGCTAGGCTAGGAAGGGTAGAACGCTAGACGACGACGGGGTGACGGGGTTTAGGGGGACATTAACGAGGTTTTCGCTCCAATTAGCCTCGAGTACACGGCGCATTAAGTTTCCACGTAGAGATTCCTGCCAGTTTCTGCAGGTCGTTTTAATATCGAATTCCCTGTCTTTGAACCGGAACTCGTGCCATTTGCGCGGCACTCGTGTTACGTCGAACGAGCCACTATATCGCGGAGATCGTCGTAAGAAAAAGGGCGCGACAAAAGTGGCAGACCAAAGGAGAAGGGACAGAGAGAAGGTGGTTATGTCCGAAAGGGAGCTTTTAGCCTGATTAATGCACTATTTCGGGATGTTTCTTTTTCGACCTTTCCTCGAGGTGGTAAGCGTCGTCGAGAAGCAAAGAAAGACGACGATGTTTTTTCTTCGTTTTCGAGTCGGAGCGGAGGACGGAAACCAGTCTGATTTTGCAGATTTCGCGCGAGTTCTCGCGCCATCGTACACCGCCTCCAGACTATTATCAAAAAGTGTGAGACTGAAAGAAGTAGCGCGGGGTGAAAGGTCGGCGAGAAAACGTGTACCGTGGTGCTGCCTGGAGCGTTAAATGGCGCCTCTTCTCTTTCTTTTCTATCTGCCTTTCTTTTTTGTTTCCTCTCCTACTTGCAGGTTCTTTCCCTCTACCTGCTTTTTTTTGCCGCCTTTTCTTTACATGCTTTTATTTTACTTCCTTTGTGACTAGTTATCGTTTGTTTCTCGTACGAATCTGCTACGAGCGACACAAGCCTGCCCAGTGAAGCGCGACGCCCGCTCTCTCGTTGCACATGCTCGTGTCCGCCTGCACTTTGCATTTAACGTTCTCCGGCCGATGCGCGACACGTGTTCATGTATACGTACATCTCTCTGTACATGGCCACGCGTACGTGCACGTACCTATACATTCGGGCTCGTCCGTGTGCATCAACGTTGCACCGCTTCGGGGCTTTCTGGCTGGCGTGCGATTGTATGCACGCGAACGCACCTGCACCATTATTTTCCTTCGTGTCTGGAAAGCTCGCACAACCAAAAATTCGGCCAGAGAACGGCTCGTTATTGAGCCATTTTCGGTCCAGTCCGTTTACCGAAAAACGTTCTCGAACCGATGAAACTCGTTCGGCGTGAATGACCTCGACAGCTCGTTGCGTTTCGCATAATCGCGTGCGGTTTTCACAGAAAATTCTCGTTCCACGCGCGTACACTATTCAGTTAGGATTACCTAATGTCTTTTTTCTCTTCACGCTTTGGTCCCTTTCTTACTGATAATCCGGGAAACCGGTATCGAATCATGAATCGCTGGAAAATTGGTTAGTGGGATGGTACAACTGCCCGATATTGTTCACTTCTCTTCGTCCATAACTAAAATACGCCTGCTCCCAAAGAACCTGGCCTAATTACGCTATCATCAATCAAGCTTGCATTCCTTCCGCTTAACGAGTGCGTTTCTTCCTGGCCATGAACAGTGACCGATTTTGCTCATTTTCGCGAAGCATTGTAGAAGTACATGGAGCTTCTGAAAAGGACGTGCTGCGTATCACTGTACGCATTCCTCTCGCTGGATGTTACCCTTCGACCAGCTATATCCCGCTGTCTGACAGCTTTTCTTTTATTCAGACGCTTTAGGTACGATTTCTCGTGGCACGTAGTACACGCCGCGCCGCATCGTCTCGCACGTGCGACATTTTTCCATCTGCTTTTCTTTCCTTTCCGATCTTCTTCCTCCTTTCATCCTGGTTGGTCGGCCAGTTGCCAGTTTTCACGTGGGTGATGCGTGGAATGCGATACTCGGCGTTCTAGGTCCGTGCGGACGTGAGATGCAAAAGAGGATGCGCGCCCGCGTGGGCGGCCAAGCCCGAGAATTGAAAGAAGGAAAGACAGAAACGACGGGAGGCCGAGTCCAGAGGAGAAGACACGGTTGAAATTGCGAGAGAGACAGAGAGAAGGAGGGAATGTAGAAGAAGGAGAGTGGATTACTAGTTGGCCCAGCATCGAATTGACTGTGGAAGATGCGGAGGAGGGGCGAGAAAGACGTTAGAGGAGAGCTTTGGAATACATTAGCCGAAGGATTTTCATCGGGACTCGGTGTCGCCCGTGTGGACCCGACTGCGTCCCGTTTAAGCGAGATTTCGCCGAAAACTTCCGGTTTCACGGGATAAAATTGCAGTCAAGTTAGCCCCATCAGGCTGACAAAGTTTCCGAAAGGGCTCGCTAGCAAGAAATCGAATAGAAGTTACTACTCTGCCTGATAAACGAAGTCGAATTTATTGCTCCACCGCTTTCCAGATTTATCCTGATTTATTGTATCGACCCCTTTCTTTCGAGCCCTACTTTTTTCCCTTCCCTTCTACTTATCCTTCTTCTTTTTCTCCCCTTCGACTTCTTTCGGCGTGTATAAACGGCCTTCGAGGCGAGTCAACCGGGGGGAACTATTGTTTCGGGGAAGATTGATTCGATCCTGATTTTCGTACAGAATTCTACCGCTTACACCGACAGTTCCTCGAGTTCTTGCTGCATGCGGGAAATAGAGAAAGTTCCTTGTAATCTACCGATCGTTCCGATCTGTTTCACCATGTTAAGCATCGGTTAACGATCCATAACTCAACTTGTGCTCGGAAGAACACAAGTTGAGGTGCGAGCAGGTTTCACCCAAGAATATAGTGACGAATATGTTTAATAATAAAATACGCATAATGATAATTTAGCTCTGCAACGATTCTCAAACTCCGCCCTCCGCAACTTCTCAGTGCCTTTTAGCTATGTGCAGCCAAATCTCCGTGTATCCGGAATCCTATCATATTCGCGCATTCACAAGTCGTTCCATGCTCGCTATCAATGCTAAAGATTAAATATCAGTTGATCAATCTCGTCGTTATTCGTGCGAATTTTCACTTGTGAGGTATCGATTAGCAAAAGGGTTAAAAGATTCGTGGCGCGAAGAACTAGCTCTGCTCGATATCGCTTCTCTTAGGATCTCCTTGCGACTTTGCGTGACTTTTCTTCACGGTTATCTATTCGCCGACAATCTGGACATCAGATCTGCAGAATTCCGTGCGTGAAATATCGCGTGGCCTTGATTATGGATCGTTTGGTAGAGGCACACGAGATTTCCTTGTATTCTTTCGCCTGGACGAGTGCTACTCCTGTTCGGCAATCGATCCATGCAATTGTTGGGCAACGATTTCAACACGCGCGCCTATAAGTACTTGTATTACCGGACTAGGTTGTTGGCGTGATTGTTGCACGCCCACGATTTACGTAAGAATACCTGTTAATACGGATCCGGCAGGTGATACTCGTTATTACGTAGTTTGACGCGATGACGACCTTTGATGCTGATTGCCAACCTTCGAATAATGCTGGTACATTGTGTAACCATTGTTCGCATTATTAGCTGAAGGATAAGTGTGGAGATTCGAAAGAATACAAGTATCGTGGAAACGTTTTACCTTCGCATAATTATCTTTATTTCTTTACCGTTGCGCAATTCTCCTCTGCGTTTCGTTATTCTCCACAGTCTTTATGATTATTTGCTCGCGATCGTGAAAATTTAAGGAGATCGCACACGCGATGGTTTCACCATCTACCAAACTAACGTTTACTTCGATATGCGCCGTCGATGATTCTGCAAGGCCAGTTTTGCTCGAATTTTAAGCAGGCGCGGAATTAGATGAAACCGCTCGGTTCTCCCAAGCTGGATGATTGGGAAGACATAATGTTACTCGAACGAGCGAAATGAATGAAACGTCTGTGGTTCTCCTACGCGTATCTATTTGTAATTGGAATGCGTAATTTTAGTCGGGCATTGTTCCAGTCTAGCGTAGAGGTTGGATGACGGATGACGCGCGACATCGTCAGGGAAATTGCGTCTTAAATCCTGCAGGTCGGAATTCCTTTCACTGCGAACGTCAGACTACTCGTCCTTCCTTCCCGGTTCCTCTTCACCGTTTCGCCTCTTCCCCGTCAGTTTCATCTTCCTTTCCATTATCTTAATCGCCTCGGTTTATGAGCTTGCTCGCTTTCCTTCAAAAAGACTTTCACCCTTGATGATCTCTCCGCCTGGACTGAGTGTCCCCTCTCGTCGAGCGCAATAAAAATTACGCCGCGGTTCGTATAATACGATCAGAGATTTAAATAATAATCGGGTAGCGTTTTCGTGTCGAATCAGATTCTACGGTGGTTTTCATTGAAAAGCGTTCTCCTCGTTAATCGTCTTGATCGTTTGTATGTTACAATGGTAAATAATTCGAGAGCGGA